GTGCAAGCATGTACGTGTGCGTGTGTTTGTGTGTGTGTGTCCCTTCTGTGCCTATGTGTGCTGAGGGGAGTTAGCAGCCAGTCCAGGGGGGAACTTGAGTTTGACTTTGGGACTCAACACCACCTGCTGTGTTTGTGAGTGACAGAGAGATGCCAGTAGGAATCTCTGCTTCTTATAGTTAGCGAACACCGGGTTTGGCTGGGGGGACGGGGCCTGGTGAGATTGTGTCCAATCTTGTCCCCTCCCCAGGGCAGATCTGTGGGTCTGGGAGGCTATGAGCATCTGCCTGTGGCCATCTGTGTTCGATGGGCCAGTCTCTTCATTCCACATGTACTTACTGAACACCTACTATGTGCCTGGTGTGGAGAAAACAGTGGGAAGGAAGGTAGACCTGATATTGTTCTCACAGGCTGTTGGGCAAGGTGGACAGGACCCATAACTACAACAATAATAGGAAACTTTTAGCATGATGAGAGGGTGTTTTGAGAGGGATTCATTGGCTGGTCAGGGAAGGCTTCCTGGAGAGGGTGGCCCTGGAACTAAGACCTGAAAGTGAGACTCAGGGGTGAAAAAAAGCCTGGCTGTTTCAAGGAACACAACAAGGTGGGGAAAGGCTGAAGCAGAGGGAACAAAGGGGTGGTGGTCAGAGAAGAGGCTCGGAGGTTGGGTCACAAGGAGCTCAGGTGAGGGTGGATTTGAATCTAAGGGCAATGGAGAGCCATGCGAGGTTCTGGTGCAAAGCAGGGTGAGCATCTCCATGACTGGGTGGGAGAAAGCACTCAGCCAGCCCTTCTCGTTCTGCCCAACCCTCCATGTGGACTTGGACAACTCATCTTTCCTTTCAGGGCCTCGTTTCCTCATTTGTAAAATGGGGTTCACTACCCACCTTCTGTTTTCCTGGCGCCACTTAGTGGCAGAAAGGAAAGTTGCTGGCTCAAGCTAGAGACACAGTGGAGGAAATTCAGCTCACACAACACACAGGGACAGAGTTGGGGTGGGGGTTCTCTTGCCCACTTCTCATTCAGCCCTAGCTCCTTTCCTGGCATGGCTCAGGACTTCCCAGGGGCAAGCTGGCCAGGCCTCCAATACTAAATCCAACTGTGACTTCCTCTCTCTGTCTGTTTCTCCATCGAAAGGCAACTAGTACATGTTACTGCTAAGACTGTTTATTAAAAATTTAAGGTGAACTCTATTAATGTAACATTCATATTAAAGTGATTACTAAAATATTGATGTCAGTTTTAAGTAGGGACGGACACAGTCTGAGGGGCCATGGGTAGAAAGATCCAGCTACTTCCCTAGTGAATGTGTAGCCTCAGGCAGGTGACCTACCAACATCTCTACATCTGCAAAACCAAACAAACAAAACCAATTCTTTGCCATCTAGTCTATTCTTCATGCAGACCCTATGTGGGACAGAGAAGACTACTCCATAGGGATTCTCCTGGTTGTATGCAGATCACCAGACCTTTCTTTCACCTCACCACAGGATGGATTTGCGCTACCAACTTTTAAGTTAGCAACTGATTGGAAACTGCTTGTGTCACTCAGGGGCTCCATTTGCAAACCGGAACTAGTAGTCACCACCCTTTAAGGTTGTTTGAGAAGCCAGATGACTTTTACAAGTACAGTTCTCAGCTCAGTGCCAGATCCGGCCATGCTCTGTTGTATAATATTTACTCATAATCTTCCATTTAATGTCTAATATCTGGGACTCCAGAGAAATGACTGAACTGCTCTCTGCCTCAGTTCCTCCTTGAAGACAGGGAGCCATTGTGAACCCCTCACACAGGGCTGGAATGCCCTTGGGGCTCCTTAGACCCCAGCTCTGGCTTCTCCACCAGGCCAATCCTGTTGGCCTCAGTCCCCTTGGGATGGTCTATAATTAGGTCCAGTTACAGCAGGGGCAGACAGGATTTTTGTCTTGGGGACAAGGAGGTCTAATTTCCCCCAGGTTGCAGGACTGGAGGGTTAGGATGGAGGTCCTTGCTGGACCCCTGAGGCTCTCCAGCCTCTCGGATGGCGCAAACTCTCTATAATGCTCGTTTCCTTATTTGTAAAATACGGACAATGTTTTCCACCTTAATGTGGATGAGAGATCCAGGGAGAATGGGGGTTTCCTCCTCAGGGTGCTCCACTTACACAGTTCTGAGCACCCCAGGAATGCCGGCAGTGTGGGAGCCCATCTCCAGAATGTAGGATCCAAAAAGCATTTGTCTGGGGACCCCAAGACTGGTGACCTCTTCAGGGGCTCATCCAACAATTGGGGGCACTATTGGCCCAGAGTCTTTTGTGTGGCCTCACCTGGGAGGTGCAGTCTCCGTGGACCTCAGTTTCCTCTGCTGGTGATGTGGGCCTTTACAGGTGTGTTGCATGGGACACCTTTCTTGACTTCACCCCACCCCCAGTAAAATCAGAACAGGGACAGACCAATCCCAGCATCTCAAAGGCTAAGGTGCCTAGCACAGTCCTCTGAAAAATTGGAGACACCAGACCCCCATTCCCAGGCCTCTCAGTCCTTTCTGGCTTGGTTATGAAGGAGGAAGATGAGGTTTCCCAGGACGGAAGACCTGCCGGGGCGCAGAGTGCGGATGTTTGTCCAGCGGAGACAGCGAAAGAGGCAGCAAAAGGATCCAGAGACAGGGTCTGGGGAATGTCACAGCAGGTGGGGGTCATGCAGGGACTTGAGTGGGGGAAGGAGCTGGGAGAGCGCAGTTAGGATCCCGGCCCCATGCTTTGCCTTGAAACCTCCTGCCTGTGATCAACTCTCTCCAAGCCTGAGTCTCCCCACCGGACGAAGTATTAAGAATTTGTAGTTCCCTGGCAGCCTTTCCTGGCTCTGCATCTCAGTTTTCCCATCTGGAAAATGGGCAGAGGGGTTGGAAACACTGCGTGAGATCTGAGCAACTCCTCCACAAACTCCGCTTACCTCTGGGCCACTCTATCATGGAAGACGCCTGGGGGCGGTGGTTTCTCGGGCGCCACTCTTTGCAGACTTCCGCAATACAACTCACTCTGCTAGGCTGGCTGAGTTTTCAGTCCCGCGGGCCGCAATAATGGGGGAAGTGAGGGCAGGAGGAAGTAGGGGAGGTTGACCAGGTCCCAGAACCAGTATCTGAGCCTGAAGGAGGCCGCCCTCTAAAGAGGGAGCGAGTGCAGAGATTTGCGCCCAGCCACGTGCCTCAGTTTCCCGGTTTGTCCACGCGAAAAGAGGTGAGGCTGGGAACGACCTGGATCTATCGCCGCAAGGCGGGGCGGGTGTGCCCTCGGTCCTGTCCCCGCCCGGCCCCGCCCCCTCGACCGTGCAGAAAAGGTCTCGCCTCAGCCCTGCGCGGTCCAGCAGACGCCAGATCCCGGTGATGCAGGGATCCCCAAAGCCCACCCCGGGTCCCGGACCCGTCTCCCCCCGGGGTTCCCCACGCGGCTCTCCCCGGCTCTTCAGGAAGCTCCTGGTGAACCAGAGCATCCGCTTGCAGCGCCGCTTCACGGTGGCCCATCCGATGTGGTGAGATGAAATAAGGCCGGTGCTGGGCGGAAGGGCAGGAGCCCGGCCAGCTTGACCCAGTAGGGGTCTGGCCTCGCTGCCCTCACTCCCTTTCTCTGTATTTCTGTCTTTGTCGCCATTCCTGTCGGTGTCTCGCTCTCCATCTCTGTCTCCCTCCACCCGCCCCTGGACGTGCGCCTGGGATCAGCTGTCTGCCCTTGTCCAGCTGTGTGGTCCAGAAGAGACCAGAGCTCAAGGCTCCTCCTGGCCCTCGCAGCATATATGGGGGTGACAGCGCTCCCCTTGGTCTCCCTGTTCCCCACCATACGTACCGGACTAACAAGATGACCTGGGAACCTTGCACTGAGTCCTGATTTAATGGGGACCTTTGAGGCAGGGGTTCTAGAGCTGTTCTAGGACACGTGTGCGCCTTCGGGCTGAGAATTCACCAGTGTGGACTCCGCGCGCATTCAGTACAATCCTTCGGGACTAGAGTTGAGGTTAGGGGTCAGGGTTAAGAATTAAGGGGTTAGGAGTTGGGGGTAGGGTTATGGGGTTAAGTGTTAGGGTTAAAGAGGGTTAAAAGGATTCGGGTAAGGGTTAGTGGTTAGGGTAAGCGTTAGAGGTTAGAGTAAGGGTTAAGGGTTTAAGGTCTGACTCCATGCACCACTCCGGGTTCGAATTCAGCCCCTGCAGGAAGCAGCTGTGACCTCGGACTGAGGTGAGGTTTAGGATGGTTGTGGGGTTCGTGGGCGACCTCCATGCACTCGAATGGCGCCACAACTGCGCCTGTTTCGCACGCTCAGAGACAAAAGAGAATTTCTCCAAATTCAACCGATCAGTGACTGAGCTGGAGGCGGGGCTCATGACCGTGGTCCCTTGGTGACGCCATTTCTGCCCCAAAGAGGAGTTCCCGGACCTGGAGAGGGTCCCTGGGGAAGGCTCCGGAGAGAGCATAGGGACATCGAGGGAGCTACCCCAGATACCTCCAAAAAGTGAGGTTCCGTGTAGCTGGCCTGTCATGGACAGGCCTCGAGCCTAGGTCTGCAGCCTGGACTTCCAAAGTACCTCCGTGCCTCAGTTTACCTGTCTGATCAATGGGCAGCCGCGCTATTCCCACAGCCCGGCAACCTCGCCCCTCGCAGTCCACGTCATGGAACCGCCGGCCTGACCTCGCCGCTCCCGGCTATGTTTAGAGCAGAAAGAAAAACAGCTCCCTCCGCTAGCCCAGGCGTCTTAACCCTCTGCGCCCGGGATATGGATTTGAACTCTGGACCCTGAGACCGCTGTAGTCTGTTTCCTCAATTGTCCATAGAGGAGCTTTCCCAGAAGGCTTTGGAGGAGGTGAAAGGAGGTGTATGGTGTCATCACCTCCAGACATCCCCCTTGGAACGCAGATCTGGTAGCATCTGTCACTGCTGCTCTACCCCTCTGGGCGTTTCTCCCCCTTCCCCCTGCCTTCTCCTCCCTCGTCCCCCCACCCATCCGGTCTGGAAGTTTTAAGAAACCCTGCTCTCCTGGTGTCTCCGAGTAGGGGACAAGCTGTGAGGGGCTTGGTGGTGGTGGATGTATGCCGTGGAGTGGGTTCCGACTCATAGCGACCCTGTCCAGGGTTTCCAAGGCTGTAAATCTCTACGAGAGCAGAAAGCCTCATCTTTCTCCTGGGGAACAGCTGGTAGTTTCGAACTGCTGACCCTGAGGTTAGCCGCCAGATTCGTAAGGAGCTCTGGTAGCGTAGTGGTTACGAATCGGGCTGCGAACTTTAAGATCAGCAGTTCGAAACTACCAGCTAGCTGTTCCGCGGGAGAAAGATGAGGCTTTCTGCTCCGGTAGAGATTTACAGCCTTGGAAACCCTGTACAGCTATGAGTAACGGCACATAACCACCACCACCGCGCTACCGGAGCTTAGAGTCAAGAAACCTTCTTGGCAGCCGAACACAACCAGACTCAGCCGAGCACGTCCGAACCTACCCGAGCGCGGCCGGACTCAGCCGAATATGCCCGACCTCTCCCGAGCACCGCCCAAACCTGCTTGAAGCCTCCGGAGCGAGGCTGGCCGGACATAGCCGAAAAAGTCCGATCTCATCCTAAATTGCCCGAACCTGGACCTGCGTAGAGCTGACCCTGATGGACAGGGGACCAGGTGGACGCTGGTCCTTGGTCAAGAGACTAGAGTCTTGGGCACCTCTGGTGTCTCCCTGTCTCTACCTCTTACGCCAAACTTTCTTCTCAAGAGTTGGTGACACAGTCAGCCTTTCTCCCCTCCGCGCCCCTCTCCACATCTGCCCACACCCTTTACCCCTTAACCTCTGACCCAAGGTGGGCGCATCGACTATCCTGCCTCGTCAGGATGTGGTTAGAGGGAGGTACAGGACTGGGAAAGCTAGAAGGGGCATTGCTAGAGGAGGGACCTTAGGACCCTACAGGATGAGTAAGCAGGAGACTGGGCAGAGGGCACAGCCCGTGCCTTGAGGTAGAAAGGAGGTGATCCTCTGGAATGAGGGCGTGGCCTGGTTGCCTGGGGGCGTGGTCCTGTAGCCAAAAAAACGTAACGAGTAGGTTGTGGGCGGGGTTATGGCCCTGAAACGGGGCCAGGGGGCTGAGGGTGGGACCTCTCCAGGCAGCGCGTATCCCTGGAGCTCTGGGGAGCCAGGAAGGATGGTGGTTCATAGTGCAGCCTAGGATTCAGTTTCCTTCTTTGTAACATGGGTTCCCAATCCTTGCCCTCAGGCGTGGGGGCTTCAGGTGGACAAACCAGCTTTATATTCCCATGGTTCCAGAGAGAACAAGACCCTTGACTGGACACTCGGATGCCAGGACGCTCGGCTCTGACCACATCTCCTCTGCCTCTAGCTTTGACTTGGAAAATGGGCTCTCGTGCGGAAGGAGTGCCTTGGACCCTCCGGCCAGCGCAGGCCTGGGCCGGGCCAGCCAGACCTCTGCCCTGCACAGCCAGCGGCGGGAGTCCTTCCTGTACCGCTCAGACAGCGACTATGAGCTCTCACCCAAGCCTATGTCCAGGAACTCCTCCGTGGCCAGTGACCTGTGAGTACTGGGCTGGTGGAATGCCACCCCCTTTTCCTCTCTCCTTCTCTTATTGCTCTATTCAGCAGCCCTACCTCAAGTGACCATTTGATCTGGACTTTAAAGTTTTAATAGGAGTTTGTCAGGCAAGTAACTCATCGAATGATCTAAGAAGAGCTTCTCTGCTCAGTTTTAGGTTGGGATAGAGCTAGGGGAGACTGGTGATGGGAGTTATGTGCCATGGAGTCGGTTCTGACTTATGGTAACCCTGTATAGGGATTCTGAGCTATAAATCTTTATGGGAGCAGAAAGTCTCATCTTTCTCCTATGGAGCAGCTGGTTGATTTGAACTGCTGACCTTGCAGTTAGCAGCCCAGCTCGTAACCCACTATGCTACCAGAGCTCCCTAGGGGATATTTTGTTGTTTTTGTTGTCAAGTGTCATCAAGTCAACTCCAACTCATAGCGACCCTGTATAGGGTTTTCAAGGAGCACCTGGTGGGTTTGAACTGCCGACCTTGTGGTTCAAAGTCCAGTGCTGATCCTACAGCACCACACCAGAATTCCAGGGGAGATTGGTGGTGGCTGTGTGCCATGGAGTCGGTTCCAAATCATAGTGACCCTGTACAGGGTTTCCGAGGCTGTAAATCTTTACAGGAGCAGAACACCTCATCTTTCTCCCGCGGAACAGCTGGTAGTTTTGAACTGCTTACCTTGTGGTTTGCAGCCCGATTCATAACCACTACAAGAGCTCCTGGGGAGACTAGGTATCAGAAATATTAAGGCCAATTAACAACAACAAAACAATTTGATTGGCGCATCCTTATAGGTACAGTCAAAAGGGAACTATGCCTTGATTCTGTAGTTTCTGCTGCCTCTAGTAGACAATTTCCCTTTTTATGAGAAGGAGATAAACTGAGTGATTGGTCACATGGGATTGTTGACTGAGGGGGAGCCCAGGGCCACAAAGTACCCAATGGGCAGTTCCGCAGGGAGAGAACCCTCAGCAGATGGCATGGTGCAGGTTGTTGTTGTTAAGTACCATCGAGTTGCATAGCAACCCTGTATAGAGTTTCTGAGGAGCTGGTGGGTTTGAACTGCCACCTTGTGGTTTGCAGTCCAGGGTAGGTTGTTGTTATTAAGTGCTTTTGAGTCAGTTCCGACCCATAGCAACTCTGTATAGGGTTTCCAGGGAGTAGCTGGTGAGCTTGAACTGCCAACCTTGTGGTTTAAACTGACTTTGCAGTCCAGCGTAGGTAGAAGCTGGAAAGTGGGATCGATCTGATCTTTGTCCCCGTCTCTGATCACCTGTCTCCCTGCAGACACGGAGAGGACATGATTGTGACGCCCTTTGCCCAGGTGGGTATACCCACCCCTCTATTTGAAAGCCACGCAAATGGAGCTGACTCCTCCTGCCGTGGCGCTGACCACTTCCTCCCGCCAGGTCCTGGCCAGTCTGCGGACGGTTCGGAGCAATGTGGCATCTTTCACCAACCTGCAAGGCCGCTGGACCGCAAAGTAAGTAAAGGATGGGGCGAGGCCAGGATGAGAGGGGCAGGGCCACCAGGTACGTGGGGTGGAAGTGGGAGTGGGGCAGGAGTAGAGCTGGGACTCTGGAGCATCCTGGTAGGACACTGAAGGGAGAGGCCTGGAGGACTTAGGGCTGACTGTCTCACAGGTGGGCATCTGGAGGGAACCCCGCATCTGGCAGTCAGCTCCCTCCACCCACAGGTAATCCCTCTCCCCACCACACACAGTTGTGAACGTCCCTCGCTAAGGACCTCCCCAGCCCATGAGCCTTAATTGTAGCCTCCAAAAAATACCCCCTGGGAATGGTGCCCCTACATCCATATTACAAATGGGAAGGTGGAAGCCCAGGAGGAGCAGAGACACAGCCACTTAGGGATAAATCTGGAATTTGGATCTTGGAGTCCCGAGTGACTCCTGGGAGAGACTCCCAGCAGGGACCCATGGGGGTCCCTACTTGGGGATGGGGCTGCTGAGCAAGCTCCTGACGCACTGGCTTCCCAGAGGACACTGGGCAGAAGTTGGCATTGGAGACACTGGACGAATTGGACTGGTGCCTGGACCAGCTAGAGACACTGCAGACACAGCATTCGGTGGGAGAAATGGCCTCCAACAAGGTAAGTGTGGCCAGACAGTCAAGGGGAGGGGGCCTGCCTCTACACACAGCGCCCCCACTCTCACTGTCCGCCCCTCCCCTTCAGTTCAAGCGGATGCTAAACCGTGAGTTGAGCCACCTGTCGGAAACCAGCCGCTCTGGGAACCAGGTGTCCGAATACATCTCTAGGACCTTTCTGGGTGAGTTGTGGTAGATCACTACCTAGGCAAATGTGTAGAGATAGAATGAAGAAACGGAAAAGAAGACATGGAAGAAAGTTTCATTACAGACCTTTCAAGGAATGTCAGGACCCCTAAAAAGCCTCTACTTTGGGCCTGGGCCCGGAGGAGACCCCAGTCTGAGGAAGACAGCCAGATACAGGCACTGTCAGCCCTGTGGGTCAGAGCTGAATCAAAAGGTGGAATGGGTAGAATTTCCAGGAGGAGGGGACACTTAAGCTAGGGTTTTGAAGCATAAACAGAAGCTTGCCATGAATGGATAGAGGGTACCAGACACCTGGATCTTCAGCTTGGGGCATAGAAAGTATTGCTTGAAGGAAGATGATGACCCCCAGATATTAGGGGTCATGCCTAATAGAAGGGGGGTCACTGAGATGGGCCAGGGATGGGAGAAAGAGATAGTTGCAGGCCAGACAGGGACTTTGCTCTGAGCTTCCTTTGGTCCAGGTAAAAAAGGAAATAGGTTGTTCCTGAGTTAAGGTCTAGGACCTGAGGCCATGTTAGGATGATCCTAAGGCAAATCAGCTCCTCTGAGCTCCACCTGCCCCACCTACAGACCAGCAGACGGTGGTGGAGTTGCCCAGGGTGACCCCCACGGACCGCCCTCAGCCCATGTCTCAGATCAGTGGCTTGCGTGAGCTTCCACACAATGTCAGTCTCTCTGCTGCCACTGTTCCTCGATTTGGTGTCCAGACTGACCAGGAGGGACAATTGGCCAAGGTGAGTCTCCAAGGGGAACACTAAGACCTGGATTTGAACCCTAGTTCCATTTAGATGCCCCATCTCAGGCCTCAGTTTGCCCACTTGTATACTGGGCAGGTAGGGCCCAATGTGGGATTTGGGATTGAGGCTCCAGGGCCTGGGGTTAAGCTTCAGTCCTTCCCATTTTAGGAGCTGGAAGACACTAACAAATGGGGGCTTGACGTGTTCAAGGTGGCAGAGCTAAGTGGAAACCAGCCCCTCACAGCCATCATGTTCAGCATCTTCCGGGTACCTCTCCAATGCTTGACTTCCAATGTGACTCCCAGGGATCATATTCCTGCCCCCAGACCTCAGGGGACATTCATTTTTCAGTCCCTCCCTGATACTCCTCAATGGGGTCATTTGCATAGGGTTTTGAAAGATGAATAAGAGTTTGCTAAGTTGAACAAATTCCTTGTCAGTAAGCCTCAACCCTGGGATTGACACTGAAGAGACCTAGTCTGGAGGGAACAGCTAGACACAGACACCCCTAGCCCTGTAGGGTGAGGTCCGGGCCAAAGGGGAAGAACAGAGATAGGGAGAACAGGGTGGGCATCTTGGAGTGGGGGGAATATTTGAGGAACTGATAAAAGTTTAGGAGGAGTGGAAACTGTGTGTGCCACCACCCCAAGGCTGAGCTCCTGACCTGGGGCCTGTAATGGACCAGGAGCGGGACCTGCTCAAGACATTCCAGATCCCAGCGGACACATTCGTCACCTACCTGCTGACGCTGGAGGGCCACTACCATGCTGACGTGGCTTACCACAACAGCCTACATGCTGCTGACGTAGTACAATCGACACACGTGTTGCTGGCCACACCTGCCCTCGAGGTATGACCCTGCCAGCTGCTGTGGCCAGGTTGGTACAGAGAGCCTGCCCCTTACCTCTCGTGCCCTGTGCCTACCCAGGCCGTGTTCACAGACATGGAAATCCTGGCTGCCATCTTTGCAAGTGCTATTCATGATGTAGACCATCCTGGGGTCTCCAATCAGTTTCTGATCAACACCAGTGAGTTACCTTACCCTCTGCTCTTTATGGGACCTAAGAAACCCCAAGTCTCAGGGAAGCAAAACCAAACAGACACCCCCAGTTCCACTGAGTTAGAGCAGGGGGAAAGGAAAGAACAGAATTCTGGAAGTCTTCTAAAGGAAGAAGCATTTGAGTTGGGGCTTTAATGCATGTGTAAGAGTTTGCCAAGAATTCCCCAAACCTGCCTTTGGGTGGGTGGATTAGGTGGGTGGGTCTCAAGACTCTCAGCCTCCCTACAGACTCCGAGCTTGCGCTCATGTACAATGACGTGTCCGTGCTGGAGAACCACCATCTGGCTGTGGGCTTCAAGCTATTGCAGACAGAGAACTGTGACATCTTTCAGAACCTCAGTGCCAAACAGCGGCTGAGCCTGCGCAGGATGGTCATAGACATGGTGAGGGATCAGGGACAAAGGGGGGTAAAGGTGGTCTTGGTGTGGCTAGAGGTTCTGTCAGATCTGGGCAGGTCTCTTTTCTGAACCCTAGCTTCCTTGTCTATGAAATCAGTGTAGTAACCATCCAAACCCTGGTGGAGAGACTGGACGCTTGGTCCTGCTCAGCAAATCCCAGCTGCAGTTTATACACAACGATGTTGACGCAGAGGCTTCTGGTGCAACTTTTTTCTGAACTTAAAGCACATCTTTCCATTTGATATTTTTTGGGTAGGGGACACCCAGACATTTTGGGGTCTCATGCCTCATTCATTCATTTGTTCAGTTGTTTTTGGTGGTGGTGTGCCGTGGAGTTGGTTCTAACTCATAAAGACCCTGCATAGGGTTTCCGAGGCTGTAAATTTTTACAGGAGCAGAAAGCCTCATCTTTCTCCCATGGAACCACTGATTGTTTCGAACTGCTGACCTTCAGGTTAGCAGACTTGACTCGTAACCACTACGCTACCAGAGATCCTTATTCAATCAGCAAGCAGTTATTGATCACCTGCTCTGTACCCAGAGTCCCTGGGTGGCACAAACAATTAAGTATTGGACTAATAACTGAAAAGTTGGTTTAAGTCCACCCAGGAATATCTCAGTACAAAGGCCTGGAGATCTGCCTCCAGTCAGCCAACTATTGAAAACCTTCTGGTACGAAGTTCTGCTCTGACACACATAGGATCAGCGTGAGTCAGAATTGCCTCCACAGCAACTGGTTTGATTTGAATTTGCTGCATGCCCTGGACTAGTGACCGAGAGAGCTCTGGGTCCCAGGTTTACAGCTGAATCGCGTTGAGTTTCCTCTCCCCAACCTCCCCACAACCATTTATTTCATGGATGAGGTCACTGAGGTTCAGAGGGCTGAGAGTGGAAGCCAGTATGGCATCCAGGAGGTGAGGAGGGAGTGGTAGATCCTCACGTCTCTCGTTTCCTCCCCTGGCCCCCAGGTGCTGGCCACAGACATGTCCAAACACATGAACCTGCTGGCTGATCTCAAGACCATGGTGGAGACCAAGAAGGTAGCCAGTCTTGGTGTCCTGCTTCTGGACAACTACTCTGATCGCATACAGGTGTGCCGCAAATAGGGCAGGTTTGATCAGTTCCTCATTTAGCTGCATTTATAAAGCACCAACTGTGTGCTGTAAAGGAAGAAATGGAGTGCTGAGAATCACAGGCCTGCGTCTTAGCCACTCTTTCCCTTTCTGGGTCTCAGTCCTCCCACCTATAAAATGGGTTGCCCATGGTATCAGGCAATGGGAAGGGGGATTCCAGGCCTGGGGTGGCCTTCCTGAGCCTCTGTCTTCCTAGGTCCTGCAGAATCTGGTGCACTGTGCCGACCTCAGCAACCCCACCAAGCCACTGCCCCTGTACCGCCAGTGGACCGACCGCATCATGGCTGAGTTCTTCCAACAGGGTGATCGTGAACGCGATATAGGCCTGGACATTAGCCCCATGTGCGACAAGCACACAGCCTCCGTGGAGAAGTCCCAGGTCCAGAGGCAAAGACTACTATGGAGTCAGGGTGGGGGAACCCAGATGAGGCAAGGGATGTTTTCCTAGAAGAGGAGTTATTTAAATAGAGTTTTGAAGGATGAGTAGGAGTTGGGTAGTCATACTATAGGTGGAAGGAACAGCCAGGGTCAGGGCCTGGAGGCTGGTCCGGTCCATTGAAATTCACTGTGCACCCACCTCTCCCCTCAGGTGGGTTTCATTGACTACATTGCTCACCCGCTTTGGGAGACGTGGGCAGACCTGGTACATCCGGATGCGCAGGACCTGCTGGACACACTGGAGGACAACCGCGAGTGGTACCAGAGCAAGATACCCCGCAGTCCCCTAGCCCCCAGCAGCCCCCAGAGGGGCGGTCTTGACAGATTCCAGTTTGAGCTGACCCTGGAGGAGGCAGAGGAGGAGGAAGAAGAAGAGCAGGCAACACTAGAAGGGGAGACCTCAGAGATACCTGATACTGAGCTGAACCCCAAGACCAGCCTGCACCTCCAGCTCCCACAGCTGGACAACCAGAGGACCGTGGGGAATCCTTTTGTGAACTCTGAGGATAACACTATGGCGGACTCCTTTGGCACCTAAGAGACCCCAGCAGGTGGACTTCTCAGGAGGAGGTTCGGGGTGGCCCTGACCTCACCCTCCCACCGTGTGAGGGACAACCAAGCTTTAGTTTTAGGCTGATCTCGGGATAAAGTCAGAGGCTCCTGGCTGGAGTCTGCTCTGACCCCACGACTCTGCTAAGAGAGTTCTCTGGGGGTGTCCTCCTAGGAGTCATTCCTCACATAGGGAGGGAGTTCCTGCCAGATTCTTTGTCCAGCGATTCCCGTGGTCACTCTTAAGTCATGGCCATCACTTTATTATTTCATTATTTATCAGATATTTACAGAGCACCTGCAATGTGCCTCTGAGGTAGCAATATGTGGCGGGAGGGGGAGAAGGGGAAACCCACCCCAAGGAGTGCTATGTACCCCCAAGTGCCTTTCCCTTCCTTCTCTGTTCAAGCATGGAGCATCTCAGGGCAAGATAACTTGCAGTGGGGAAATTTAAGCCCCAGACCATCATTCAGATGCTCAGTTGTAGAGGGAATCGTGAAGGGGAGCTGTCTCTGAAGACCAACACAGCGTTCTGCATGTGGGTGTAAATTGTTGCTAGAAGCCACTGTTTTCTGTCTTTAGGTGTCTCTGGGTTGATGTGTCCTCTGCTCTCTGTGACCCCCTACACATTCTGTCTCTTATAGAAGAGCACCACAAAAGCTCAGAATTTCTCATGTGAATCAATCTCTGTGACCCTCTGATCCCAGAAGAAGAAAGTCTCAGAGATTTTCTTGCAAGTTGCAGCCACCCCAGGCCTCAGTTTCTCCATCTAGTACTGAGATAAACTTTGGTTGAGGGTTAGTGTCCATACTATCCCTCCAGCCCAGAAAAATCTTAGAAATTTAGGACATTGAGAGGTTTTTGGGGATTAGATCAACCTTCAGATCATTGTTAGTGTTGCAGACAGTGAACCATCAAGTCCAGCTCCACATGCAAATCTTAACTCCTGACAAACCCCCCGCACAATGAGACCAGACTGCTATGCTCCAGAGGGTTTTCACGGGCTGAGTTTCAGAAGTGGATCACCAGGCTTTTCTTTCTAGCCCATCTGAATCTGGAAGCTTTGCTGAAACCTGCTCAGCATCACAAACACGTGTGCGTCTCCACAGACAGATGGCTGGTGGCTGTGTAGGGGGGCCCGGGCTATTGATGGAACTCTGGGCTCCTCATGGAAAGTGAGAAGTCTACCTTGGAACCACCACCACCTTATTTAGGTCTTAGGGCACCCTATTATTTACAGTTAGTATTGTGCCCATTTCACGATGGTAAAACTGAAGCACAGATATGCTCCACCCCTTCATCCCCACCCCAGTAAATCCCAGGCCACTAGGCTGGTCTCTGAGTGGTGGCAAGAATGGGAAATGCAGTGGTGGTAGAATTAAAGTAGAGTTCAGGGGTCCTCTTTGCCCTGCCCACATCTTGGGGCTGCCCTCCATTGGATGAGCTCTTCCTGAGGATACTGATCTCCATCTTGCTGGGAGCAGGCAGGCAGCTCTGTGGTCAAGTCGTGAATTCAATCCCCTCCTTCAGGAGTGCCCATCCCACCCAAAACCCACTGCCGTTGAGTCGATTCTGACTCATATCGACCTAATACAGTTTCTGAATATAGAATTTTCCCACCCCACCTACTGCCATCGAGTTGATTCGGGGGTTTCAGTGCCTGAAAATTTTACAATTGCTACGAGTATTCACAGCAGCCTTTGGCTTTGAGAAGAACTGGTTTCATTTCTAATTATAACCATGGGCAATTCATCACCATCATAACTAACGACAAGTATCCACAGGGGGCGAGATTCAAGCCATCTGGGGTTATGGACTTAATATGTTTCCTCCAGCTCCTCAAAAGACTGAGATTTATGAGATTCTTATTTAGAATGTTCTTTCTCTCCACCCCCATCCACTTAAGTTACAAAGAAGTATATGTTCACGCTAGAGAATTGGGAAATAATAGAAAAATATGAAGAAGGAAATAAAACTCACTTATAACCCCACCTATAGATCATTCACCTTCAGTATTTATGCCTATTTCTCTCTTGTTTTTTTCTCGACGGATTTATATGAACATTCGTGTATTCCCCTCCAATTTGGGGCACGGTCTCCCTCTTACTCCCCTTTACTGTCTTACGTAGAGAGCTGCTGTAACAGATATAGTGTAAGTGGGTGGCTTTAGGGAAAATACATTTTATTGTTTCAGTTTCAGAGGTTAGAAGAGGAAGCTCTCTATCAGTGGGCACCAGGGAGATGTTTTTTCAGCATCTTGCTTATCTCTTCCCCCATCTGAGCTTTCTTGCTTCTGTGCCTAATCTGCTCCCTGTGTTTCTCAAAATTGCTTCCTTTAAAACATACCCTACACTTACGAGATCTCATTAACATAACAAAGAAAACCCTGTTCCCAAATGGCATCCAAACACAAATCCAAACCCATTGCCAGGAGTAGAGTTGTTAAGTGGTGCTATTATTGAGTTGGTTCTGACAAACAGGGACCCTGGGTAGGATTTCCAAAGAGGAGCCTGTGAGTTTGACCCACCGATCTTGAGGTTCAGTGTTTATGCTACAGTGCCACTTCACAACTCTATGAGTAGAGTTGTTGTGTGCCGTGGAGTCGGGTCCGACTCATAGTGACCCTGTACAGGGTTTCCAAGGCTGTAAATCTTTACGGGAGCAGAAAGCCTCATCTTTCTCCCACGTAACAGCTGGTAGCTTTGAACTGCTGACCTTAAAGTTCGCAGCCCGATTCGTAACCACTACACTAGCAGAGCAACTCATCAAAAACCCTCATCAAGTCAATTCCAACTCAAACTGACTCTCTAGGACACAGTAGAAGAGCTCCTTAATGTTTCTGACGCTGCAAACCTTCACAGAAGCAGACAACCTCATCTTTCTCCCTCTGGTGGAGTTTGAATGACCCACCTTTCAGTTAGCCATCCTGTGCTTAACCACTGCTTCACCAGGGTTCCTTTTTCTAACTCAGTGAACAGATATTTCTTTGTAAGTAAAATGGATGAAGGGAAGGAAAGAGAAAGCGAGAGAGAATATTCCAGATAGAAATCTCCTAAATCTCAGCATTTTAAGAGTCTGGAGGAAACACCGTATAATCTCTGGAGGCCTGGATTGTCCACTTCAATGTCCAAGCAGCCCCCAGAGATAGCCTTTGATAATGACAATAAGTCCTTGAACTTTCCCATTGTTGTTAATTGCTGTCAAGTTGATTCTGACTCACGGCGACCCCATGTGTACAGAATAGAACTCTACTCCGTAGGATTTTCAAAGTTGTGACTTTCCAGAAGATCACCAGCCCGTTCTCCTGAAGTGCCTCTGGGTGGGTTTGAACTGCCAATCTTTCAGTTCAGCGCTTAACCATTTGCACCTGTCAAGAAATCCTAACTTCTCTGAGCCTCCCTCATTTCGTGGGTAAAGTGGATTCCCTGAAACTACCAAGTAATTACAATTGTTAATGTCCAAAGGGGATTATCCCTCCTCTTCGGCCTCTTTCTTATCCCTTGTTTACAGATGTAGAAACTAAGGCCCATGAGGATGCGATGAAGGCACTTACAGACCTCAGTTCCTTCATGTTCTCCTCTTTGGGGTCCTTCCCATGGCAGCTGCAACCGTCAATAACTACAACAATAGTTAATGTGTAACGAGATAATAGTTATCCCTCCTCTTCTGCCTCTTTCTTAGTCACATTTTACAGATATAGAAACTAAGGCCCATGAGGATGGGGTGAAAGCACTTACAGGTCCTTCTTAAGGCAGCACAACGGGCACATTTGTGATTAAGTAGCAGTGATTTACTTAATATGGCCCATCTAGTCATCATCTTTGTAAGTCCCGCCAAGTGGGTTGTTGTTAGGTGCCATTGAGTTGGCTCCAACTCTTAGCGACCCTATGCACAAAAAAATGGAACCACGTCTGGTCCTGAACCAGCCTCACAATTGTTATATTTGAGCCCATTGTAGCAGCCACTGTGTCAGTCCATCTTGTTGGGGGGGGGGGTCTTCCTCTTTATCACTGACTCTCTACTTTACCAAGCATGATATTCTTTTCCAGGGACTACTACCTCGAGCTCTGGTAGCATAGTGGTTATGAATCGGGCTGTAAACCACAAAGTCTGCAGTTCAAAACTACCAGCTATTCCACGGGAGAAAGATGAGGCTTTCTGCTCCCATAAAGATTTACAGACTCAGAAACCCTGTACAGGGTCGCTATGAGTCGGAACCGACTCCACGGCACATAACCAACCAACCAACCAAGTCCCTAGTGATGGAGCCATGGTGTGATGCTATAGGATAAGCATTGGACTGCTAACTGCAAGGTCAACAATTCAAACCCACCAGAAGCTCCATTGAAACAAACTCGCTATGAGTCGGAACTGCTCAATTTAATCACTTAATGATGAGAACGATGTGTCCCTCCTGATAACATGTCCAAAAGTCTTGAAATGAAGCCTCACCATCCAAGCTTATAGGGAGCATCTTGACTGTACTTTTCCCAACACAGATGTGTTTGTTCTTCTGGCAGTCCGTGGTAGTTAACATTTTCTTCGCCAACACCATAGTACAAATACACGAATTCTTCTTCAGTTTTCCTTATTCATTGTCCAGCTTTCACATGCATATGAGGCGATTGAAAATACCATGACTTGGGTCAGGCATACCATCACCCTCAAAGTAATATCTTTGCTCTTTAACACATTAAAGGTTTTGTGCAGCAGATTAGCCCAATGCAATATATTGTTTGATTTCTTGAATGCTGTTCCCATGAGTGTTGATTGTGGAGCCAAGCAAAATGAAGTCTTTGACAACTTCAATCTTTGTCTCCATTTATCATGATATTGTTTATTGGTCCAGTTGTGAGGATTTTTGTTTTTTCTATATTGAGGTGCATTCCATACTTAATGCTGTAGTCTTTGATCTTCAACAGTAAGTATTTTAAGTCCGTCTCACTTCCAGCAAGCCAGGTTGTATCTATCATCTGCATATTGCAGGTT